TCTTCGATTCCAAACGCAAGTCCCTGATTGGGACTAATTTGGTCCCAGTCGGGGAACACTTTTTGGTCCAACTTTCTCCGAATTGAAATCCGATTGCACCGTTGCGATCAGACAGTTAAACTCTATCTAACGATATAATTTTTATATTTATTCGTTATACTTTTTCCGACATCATATTTTTGGGTGGTTGACTTTGACAGAGTCAAAATTGGTTTAATTGACCTTTATTAAAAAAGGTTATCACATTTAATTCATATTATTTATTTCCATGATTTATTTCAATAAATCATTTCAAAGTTCACATTATAAACAGTTTCTTCATTTATTCTTAATTTGGGTCTGTACTCAGGTTCCCAATCAAGATCACACAATAAATCAACATGTTGGATTTATCTCTATGAGATTTATCCCAATTATGTTTATTGGATATCAATATATATTTTATTTCAGCCCAAAGCCCAACAACAATTTATTTTAATCAAAACAAATTTTGTTTAATTGAATATTTAATTCAATAAATTTTAGAGTATATTTTGGGGCGTTACAATTTTCAAGAATTAAATATCAATTACCATTTGATTAAATCACACTGCTTTATTTAAATTTACATACACCTAAATATTAATCAATATTATAACTCTGATCTAAATATGTTTTGTATTATTATAATTATTATTAATATTATTATTACTCTATATTATTAAAGGACTACTGAAGTATTATTATTATTATTATTATTATTATTATTACTACTACTACATCAAGTACAAACAATCATTATTACTAGTAATTGCTTAGCTTGTAAAAATGATGCATGAAAACTTGTATTAATACCAAGTAATAATGTATTCTCTTCACAATATAGAGAGAAATTGTTTAATGTCTTTTCGCAAAGAATAAAAAAAGTAGTGATATTGAAAATGTATTGAATATTTCAAAGGAAATGTTTAAATATATTAATGATTAGTTATTGTAATTGACTTTATTATTTTACTTATGTGTGTGTGTGTGTATGATTTGTAATACTTTAAAATTATTAAATTTCGTGTAATGATTATAAGTTTTTAAACTCGATTTAGATGCAAACCCGATTGGCCTCGAACAGGTTAGAGCCAAAATGAATTAGACCTAAAATCGATTAGATCGAGTATTATTCAAATTCAAAACAATATTAACTCAATTCAGTCAAACCTAATAGCTTATTGGTTGATGTCTTTATCAGAAAAAACATATTTAAATTATAGGTACAACTAATTTCATGTATAAATTTTTTATTCCATATTTTATCACTCTTTTTTAAAAATGGTATAAACTCAAATAGGCAAATTCCTGAATTTGTATAAACTCAAACCAATATAAACTAGAATTGATATAAATCCAAACCGAAATAAACCCAAACCAAAACCGAGAAAAGATCAAACCAAATTAAACTATGAAATCAAACAGCACCGAACCGACCCAGAACAATACTCCCTCCGTCCTAATTCTTTCTTTCCAGTTTGACTTTTCCCCATTTTTAACTTTTGGCTTTGACTTCAAATTTTACCCTCCTTAAAAAAAGATTTTTTGAAATTTTTTTTACAATCATTCAAAATATAGAGTTAGAAGATAATTGATGTAAATACATGAGGGTATTAATGTCATTTGTCATCTTTTTTTTCTAATGGGAAGATAATTTTAGGACGAAGAAAAAGGGGAAGTGGGAAGAAAGTTTTAGGACGGAAGGAGTAGAAAATATCTCAAGAGTAACCGAACTACCAAATTGCCAGGTCTAGACGTAATTCCTTAAAAGTATAAAGAAATATTTTCACTAAATAGCACAAAAATTTAAGTCATTTCTCTAAATAACACTTAAGTTTTTTTATTTCCTGAATAACACTTAATAACGTCCATAATGTCCAGTGATGGAAAATATTTACTTAAATAATGATCAATAAATAATGACTAAAAGTATTACGGAGTACATTGGAAAAAAAGTGCTATTTAGGAAAAATTCATACCCCTCTATCCCTAATTTGAATTATGGGTTACGGAGCGAAATTTTCTACTTTTTAAAATCATTTTATTTGCAAATTGATATATCAATAAGATATAAGAATGACATATTAAAAAACTACGTCAAAAGTTCTACAAAATAAGAAGTGACAAGAATATTTTATTTTATCAAATACCTAATGAAATCGCGTAAACAAACAAAAATTATGAAGAGAACGAGAGAAAAAAATTGTACTATGTAATCTACCTAGGGATTGAGGGAGTATTATGTTTTTAGCCAACGATTCCAAATCGTTCCGTTTCCCTCTACGCCTCCGCAAGTTGTCGGTAAATCCACCAAAATCAGATCAAGGGTTTTCAACTAAGACGGCTATGGCGAGGAGAACGTGCGGATGGTCTTCCCCGTCTACTCCGAACAAGCGGCGGCTCTATGATAGTTTCGATTCCGGCGTTTTTCTCTCCGAGGGCGAGGACAAAGACGAAATGATCTCTGCTGAGAAGGATGTAAGTTTTGAAGATGAGGGAAACATGGACGAGGAGAAGGATCTCCGTCTTGCAGACAAAGGTAAGGAACCCATCACAGTTGAAGAAGAGGGGGAGGACTGGGAAGACTGGACAAGACTTTTTCAGGTTGGGGATGGAGATGTATGGGAGACTAAATCCTTCTCCAAGTATGGCAAACAGAATTGGGCTTGTTTTTATTACTATTTCGATGACGACTTTTACAGACTACCTAGAGATTATTTCAAGCCTGGGGAGGATCCCCGTTCCAGAAGCAGATCCTTTATGTTAAAGGTAGTGACTTTATTAATTCATTTACTGCATACACACACACACACACAACGCTTGAAGAATCATTTTTACAAGTGATTGTTTGATTATTTTCTTTTCTTTAGATGGGCCATTCGTTGACGTATGAACTACTCTCAAACGATTTCTGGAAAGCTAGTTATGGTGCCAAAATAGCCATTGTGTTTTTAAATAAAGAAAACAAGGTTATTTTTGTTTTTTTTCAATAATCAGTGATTACTAATATCTACTGTATATATCGGTAGTGGAGTTCTAGTGACACTCATATTTGATGACACTAGCGGTGCTATTGTCATTTTGGAGCATTTCGGGTGCTCCGTTCGTAAAATTGACGGTTCCTACCCCCTAACCTACTTCCTAAACCCCCACCCTGCAATGCATAATAACCACACATTTTGTTGGGGCTTACGGCGGGGTAGGGGTGGGAGTGTAGGGGCGGTGGTAGGGTGGGGGTTTAGGGGTGGGTTAGGTGGGGTAGGACCGTCAATTTTACGAACGGAGCACCGGAAGTGCTCCAAAATGACAGTGGCACCGGAGTGTCTCCGTAATCCGGTGTCACTAGAACCCACCAGGTATATATTTAGTTATCATTCATATTCATGGTGTCTTTAATTTTAACATTGTTTGCTTATTATAGATGGGAAAAACTTTTAAGTTTGAATCACTCTCCAAGCTAAGCATCGGTAAAAGAAGTCACCAACCTTCGGGTACTATATACTTCATTACATTTGTGGCAACTGAAACTGATTCTGGGTTGGAGAGAGAATTCCAAGCTTCATTTCTTCGGCCTTATACACACCGGAACGTTTGGTGTTTGAGGGCCTTGAGGGAAAAACCATATGTTTTTTGAGGTAATTTCATCAATATTCTCATTAATGTGTATGCATTGATGTAATGAGATAACTCTTTTCATTCTAGCTCTGTAATATCAAGCATGAAATGTGGAGCATGGTGGTTCAAAATAACGCTGGCATTTCGGTTATGTGTTATTTTGGGGGTTAATGCTTGTATTTTTGTCTCAACCTCATATCTGCATTTTGTGCTTGGTACCATGAGTTGAATGGAAGCTGAACAGGGCAAATATAAGACTTGCTAGTGGATGATGGCATGAAGACCCTGCTCCAAGTTTGAAAGGACACAAGATTTTGCTGCGTGTGGAAGGAAGGAAACAAGATTTTTTGCTGTTGACTTCTAATTATAGTGTCCATCAAAGCTCTTTTTGTTGCAACATCCTCTATGAAACTTGTAGAGTCTGGTTGATTTTTACTCTGTATTTATCTTTTGTGCTGAGTTTTGGGCCTCAAGAATTTGGCAAATAGAATATCCAAGGGATATGCTAAATCCCAAAAATTACATTTACGGCTACGTTATATGATATCTCCACTTATATGTAAACATAGATTACAAAAAATATCATATTTTGAAATTGTTATAAATGAATGGAATGATATTAAATCTGTATCATAACTCAATACAAAGTATGTTTTTTGGCAATGTGTAGTCACAATTTATACTCCCTATGTCCTAAAACTTTCTTCCCACTTCTTCTTTTCTCCGTCCTAAAATTACCTTTCCATTAGAAAAAAGATGACAAATGACATTAATACCCTCATGTATTTACACCAATTATCTTCTAACTCTATATTTTGAATGATTGCAAAAAAAATTTCAAAAAATCTTTTTTTAAGGAGGGTAAAATTTGAAGTCAAAGCCAAAAATTAAAAATGGGGAAAAGTCAAACTGAGAAGAAAAAATTAAGACGGGGAGTAAATATTAACCAAAAATGAAAATAAAAAAGAAATATACGAGACACTAGAAGTATTTTTCTTCAATTTACTCTCTATACAATATAAGTATGTTCTCGTGCCCGTAGGTGGCTTTGCCACAAAGAATCATGTTGGGGCGGATCACACAAAAGTATGATCTTGGGATATGTGTATGCACACCTTATCCCCCTACTCATCAATATTAAAAATCAATAAATAAAGGATGATAATTAAATAAATGTAATAAATATGAGAATTTAAATGCTGAAGAATCACATTTCTAAAAATAAAACAATTATTTTTAAATTGATACATAATTTCTTTTCAAAAATAATCATTTGCAAAATCATTAAGTTTTCCACCATTTTGAGCCCCTTTGATGGGATCTTGTCATATAATGGTGTGATGTAAGGTGAACATGATAATGATGATCCTCTCATTCAATTCAATAGATGAAGCCAATAGAAACTCAGCTCCTTTAAGTTAATACACACTTGTAGAAAATACATAATTAATAAAAGTCAAACAGATCATATAGTTAGTGTTTGTACACATTCCTAGCCTGCTTCATCTAAAACAAAAAAAAGATGCAAAGAAACTTCCAAGCCTAGATTGCCTACCTCTACTACCCATCTTGCCCCCCACATTCCTTGAAAACGGAGACTTGGATTGTCCAGAGCTTTTACTCTTCCACTCCTTTAAGCCACATGACTCGTCCTTCTCTTTTAGAACCTCTTTGCTCTTCCTAGAAGATGAAGAGCTAGATGCATGCCCAGAAGATTAATCTTTCTCGCTGCAATTCAAGCAAAGTAAATCAAAAAACAAAATAAATTATAGTACAACAAATTAAAAAAGAAGATAGTGATTGATTAAAGGGAGGCAAGGAAGAAAACATCATTAAAAGAAAAATGAAAAAGCTCCAAAGAAGAACGCATAGTATGCAAAGCAAAAATAAAGTCCCAAACTCCAACTTGTACAGTGATATGCCGCAAGCCTGTACATGATCTAAAACAAACACTCCCTCAAATCCAATCAACATAGATTATAATAATACTAATTAAAACAAACTAATTAAGATAAAAATTAGCTACGGAGTATGAACAAAAATAAAAATACCTCATAATCACAGAAACAAGTTCATGATTATTCATGAGTTCTTCAAGTGCTTCCAATCCTTCTTTATCTTTAGGTACGTCTTCTTCAATCCCATGTAATGCCCTTAGATTTTTAAATATATCTTTCCCAATTTGGGACCATCTGTTCTGATCAACCCAAATTTGGCGGTGAAGGTTGGGTAGAAAACATCAAGCCCTGCCAAAGTATCGAGCACAGTATGAAAACGAATCGCCTCTGATATCATCTGAATGAGCACGACCGCACTTTTGGCTTTTGATTGGGATATGATCGCAATCCCATTATCATCAACATGCCATGGAGACGCAATTGAATCTACCGCTCCGATCATTGCATCCCTACCCAACGGAATACTCTCTCTTGTAGGTGTAGGCGCATTACGATGCTGCTTTGTCTTAGGAACAAGTTCTGTATAGCTATCGCTTTATCCATATAGGTTCGAGGACCTATATCTCCAACTTCAGAATCTCTAAACACATACCAATGTTCCCCTTGAGGGGTGCTAACCAAAAAACCACACACATAGAGATTGTGGCAGTTGATTCGGAGGGTGATGCTAGAGTTACCTGTTCTAATTCTAGCATTTTTAAATGTTAGAACATTACTTTTAGGAACGGGGGGTAAAAACAATCAATTTTAAAAATAGAATACCATAGATATTCACATTGTATTTTTGTAAAAATGTTGTATTTTTTTGTGGTAAAAATAAGAGGCTCCTAATATTATACTTGTCCTTTTCGTTGTTGCATTGGATACTTTATCATTGTAAATTCACCAATACTAAGGTTACGGAAAAATCTATTTTACTCTTTTATACACTGTTGAGATCTTTTCTAAATCAATGTTTTTGTGTAAGTACTTCTTGACTTATTATTTATTTGGGCACATGACATTGCGAACTAATGTCATGGGATGACCCGGGGCCGCTCTGGTATCCTGTTCGTAAAATTGACGGTTCCTACCCCTTAACCCCCGGTAAATCCCCCACCCCGGCACCTACCCGAACACACCCCCTTCAATTGCACCACACAAGTTGATTTTGACTTTGAAGTCAAATTTTGACTCTAAAGTCAAAATCAACTTGTGGGGTGCAATTGAAGAAGTGGGGGGTGTGTTCGGGTCAGGGTGGGATAGTTTACGGGGGTAGGAACCGTTAATTTTACGAACGGGCACTGGAGCGGCGCCGGGTCATCCCTTGACATTGGTTCTCAATGTCATGCAAACCAAGGATATTTATAAATAGTTTTTGCCTTATAAATTTTTTGTTGCAGTATTTTTTGTAAAAATATCTAAATAAGAGACTAGTCACTTGAAAATATTGACAAAAAGTTAGGAGAAGTTTTATACGGAGTAAATGATTTGGTAAAAAAATGAATTAATACCTGGAAATTTTGTTAGACGCCAAGTGAAAGCATTGCATATCTCGCAGCCTTGGCATTTTTCACTTGTCTGTTGAATGCAAAATAAAACCTTAGCATTATAGACAAGTAAATAAGTAAATTAAAAAAACAAACATGCTACAATTACATCAAAAAAAACGTACCTTGCCTCAAAGTGACACTAAAGATATTCACTAACATTTCGATAGTTCACGATGGCACAAAATACTAGTACGATAATAAAAGTTTGCGCAACATTTTGTACCAATTTAAACCATCACCCTAGCATCACATTACCACAAAATGAAGATGTACACCTGCGGCAGAAATCTTGGGGTACAAATAGCTAAATCCATTCAAAAAAGTGGGGACAAAATCACTCACCTGGCAAACTCACACAAAATAAGAGTCATTTATGAAATTTGATCTCTCTTCGGTGATCCTTTGTATTCTCTGTATCAAATATAATACTGAAATGAAACACTAAACCTCTGTTTGGTATATGTTTGGTATACGGAATTCAAAACGTGGAATTGGAATTGGGGACAACAATTTCAATTTTGTTGTTTGATATCACAAAAATATGTGGATTTGGAATTTGTAGTGCCAAAAATATATTGGAATTGGAAAATTCAATTGCATCTAAATCAATTGAATAGAATTTCAACTCTCAATTCAATTTGAATTTCATCAATTTCCTGAACCAAACGAACCCTAAGGCAAAATATAAAAAAGACCAAAAAAGGGAAGGCACACCCAGAGGCGTACTATTGAAATACGGAGTACATATTAGTGTTACGGCTCGGTTCTAGTGACACCGGAGAACGGTGCCACTCCGATGCCACTGCGTTTTTAGAGCACCTCTGGTGCTCCATTCGTAAAATTGACGGTTCCTA